GGAAAAGACAGCCACAGCAAGATGTACCTCTCCAAAACTGAATGAGTTATTCCAAGTATTAAATTACATATTTAATAAAATCTTACCTAATCTACAAATTTTTAGAATATATAGAGTGCTAAATTTCCAAATATAAACGTCCAAATTTTGACTCTTCACTCAGACGGAACTTATACAGAACTGCAATCATATATAGATATGCATCTAAACATTTTTTTAACTAACTTGTTTGAACTTGAGCTTACCAGTGTCCATCTGCCAGACGTACACAGAGCCATCTGAACAGCCCACCACCAGGTAGTCGTCGGAAGGCCTCCATTTGATCACCTGAATGGGGAAGAGGTGACGGGATGCCAGCATGATGCATTTCTTCTCCCGCAGGCTCAGAAGCCCCACGGAGTGATCACTGGCAACAGAGCAAATGCAGTGCTGGACTCTTGCCTAACAAAAGAAAAAAAAATTAAAAGAAATCTTAATCATGATGCAGAGATTTTGAACTTACAATGTCTTCTTCACCAGACCCAGCATGGTGATCAACAACCTGTTTTATAAACAGAAAGCAGGTATGTAAGCCTATGGCTAAACTCACTGAGGTCACTAGAAACAGAAGAAATTCTCCTGATTCCAACCTCTTGCACATCAAAAAGAGCAAAGGGGCATTAGAACCTGTTTTGCTGAGCGAAAAAGAGATCACAGTTTTCAAGTAAATTCATGTAATTTTGTCCACTAAATTCTATCAACTCCTTCACATTACAAGAGGCAAAACTGCCTCTAAAAGCCACAGCATAACTGTTGGGGAATGTTTGCCCTTCATGTTCACCAGCACCTCCAGGGGCAAGGCTGCTTCTATGCCATGCAAATCATCTCCCACTGCTAATGCTGCACACCATAAAATGCTAAATGTTCCCCCAGCTAGCTAGGCTTTAATATGCAGTTTTTCCACTATTTTTAATCCTTTATGTAGCCGAAACACAACGTGAATAAACCCTGGGTTAACAGAACAATGAAGCATCTGCCAGTCAGACAATGGGTCAGTGCTGCCTCTCCAGCACCTCCTGTGACACTCCCATTCTCAAGGAGGATTTGAGGAGCTGCACCATTTATGGAAAGTGTGAGACAGGTTATCAGACGTATTATGTAAAACTTACACTACAGTTTTCTGGTGGAACTAGAAGCTGTGTAATTTCTCCACCATGTACACAGAAGATATGTTTCATCTCTCCAGAAAATATATCCCATATGATGACTGAGAAATCCACACCACCTGAGATCAAATACCTTTGATCATAACGAGAAGAAACCTGATGAGGGTACAGTAAACATGTAATTTTGTTTCGATGGCCTCGGAGAGTCCGGTGAGGTGGCCAACCTGAGAAGTTGGGTAAGGGGTGAAAGGGGGAAAAGAAAAAATGAAAAAAGAGAAGAGAAATATGGAATTCAGTAGGACAACTAACAAACAAAAACACTGTTCTTGATGAAAAAACTCCAGACATACTGCAATTTTTAACAGAAGTTCTTACAAAATTAGCGCTGTCTTGTTTTTTTTAAAGTGTTTATAATTTTTTTGGTGGACATGGGCTCAGTAAATCTTTAACTGAAGTAATTCAGTTGTCTTAAAAGACTCCTCCTACCTAAAAATTCCCAGAAAAAAAAAAGGAAAATAAATTTAAAATGCCACATAGATGGGAAAGAATAAATTCCTTTTCTAATCACACATGGATTTATCCAAGGTTACAACCCCAAGGACTGGTACCAGAACTGCCCAATCTTACCCTGCCCTGGCCACAACAGCAGCATGCAAGTCTGCAGCGTTATGAGTTTGGTGCTTGTGCAGAAGAGGTTTTGGATGCCAAAAAACAGGCCTCAGATTGCTTTTTAGATGGCAAATCAGACAAAACAGGCTGAGCAATTTAAATACCAGAACGAAATTTTCTATGCAACACCTGCAGCATATGGTTGAACTTTCAGCCTCTAGGTGATTACAGTCTCTAGCAACCACAGCAAACCTCACACAGAACTCACATGGGCACCTCAGCATTTTTAGGAGGGTAAGATTCACCAACACTTTTTTGTGGAATAATGTACCAACTTTGAGGCAAGCCAACTTCACATTAAAAAAAAAATAATTTTTGTATAAAGTTATATAAAGTAGATCAGTTATCCAAAGGAAACAGTAGAACCAACAGCCTTGTATATAACTGACAAGCTCACAGGTATATTTACAGAAAAATATTTATATGGCTCTTTCATTTATCAATATTTGTAAAAATGAAAATCTAAATATTTGTTCTGCAACTGTGATCACAAAAGTAAAAAAGTAACATTATCTGGAACCAAAATACACGACAGCAGGGCAAGGTATAACACTCAGCTAACTAGAGCACACACGGAGGAATTCTCTGTCAGATGTGCTGCTTTCCCAAGGAGCTCTCCCCAGGCGCAGCGGCAGCCCAGCTGAAGGCAGTGCCAGAACCATCCTCAAAGAGACAGGAGGGCTCTGGGTCTGTGTCCCTCCCCGTCCTTGGCTTTGCTATTGCACCTCAAAAGCCCAGGAGAAATATCCAAAGCTTTCCAGGGAAGGGACACCTCCAGAACTGATGCAAGCTGGCAAGTTAATTTATTTCTCAGGTTTCTCACTCCATAGCAGAATATCGGAATTGTTAAGGAAAAAGTTCAGAGAATCACAGAATGGTTTAGGTTGGAAAAGAACTTTAAGATCATGAGCCCAACCACTCCCCCAGCACTGCCAGGTCCCCACTGCCCCGTGTCCCTCACACCACATCTCCACGGCCTGGAAACGCCTCCAGGGGTGGGGACTCCACCACTGCCCTGTGCAGTCTGGCACAGCCCTGGACAACCCTCAAGGGGAAGAAATTGTTCCTCAGGTCCAACCTAAACCTCCCCTGGTGCCACCCATGGCCATTTCCTCTTATCCTATCACTGGTTCCTTGGGAGCAGAGCCTGACCCCCACCTGGCTCCAGGCTCCTGTCAGGAGCTGTGCAGAGCCAGAAGGTCTCCCCTGAGCCTCCTTTGCTCCAGGCTCAGCACCACCAGGTCCTCATCACACTTGGGCTCTAGACCCTTCTTCAGCTTCGTTGCCCTTCTCTGGAGCTGGCTCCAGCACCTTGATGCCCTCCTTGTACCAAGGTGAATTCTGCCTGCAAAGTGACTTAACTCCCACTCTGGAACGAGCCCTCGGGTGCGTGGCCCTGCCCGCCCAGCATGCCCGCGGGAGCCGCGGCACTTCCCGGCCTGAGGCACGTCCCCTCCTGAGCCACCCACACGCTCCTCCCGAGCCACATACCCTCCCGAGCCACCCACGTGCCCCTCTGAGGCACGTACCCCTCCTGAGCATGTGCTCTCCCTGCAGCAGCTGCACGATGGCCGTCTGGGTGGCCGGCACAATGACGATGCTGCCGTCCTCGCGGCCGCAGACCAGGCGCCCGTGCGCGGGGATGTACACGCTGGCCGTGACCTTGAGGGGCTCCTTCAGGTTTGGTATTAGGCTCAGTTGGTCTATAATCCCAGCAGGACGAGGGGTAAGTTTATCAAAGGCTTCCTGGAGAGATATTGAAGTGGTTGTTTGCAGTCCTGTTTAAAAAGAAGGAAAGAAAAAAAAAAAAAGGAAAGGGTGAGTCAGGAGAAGGCTTTGAAAAAGTAAAAATCAAGAATGGAAATACAGAACACTTTTCTAAAAAGATCTCAAAGTTTAAGTACATCTCATTACCACACTTGGAACACAGTAAAAGGTACATCCTGGAGATTAGTTTGCTCCCTACCCGAGTGGAGCTACAGCAACACGTGGAACCAATGCGCGTGAGAGATGGAGAAGTGTGTGATTCAAGCTACAAGAGGCAGTTACACAGGCAGGCAGCAACGACCACAGCTAGGATTTGGAATCAAGCAGTGAAAACTGAATTTACTCTGAATATTTTTCAGGTATTAGGATTTTGATCATATATGAGAAAACTAAGTTGTGTAACTCATAAGAAGCACGCAATTAAGAAAAAAAAACAATTTAACGGATCTGTAGGAAAAGCAGCAGTGTGTTATCCAGCAACCAAACACACAGAGATGCCCACTAAAAGGCCTGGCAACAAGCCTGTGAACTCAGTGTACCTTTTGCACTGTCTTGTTGTTCAAGAGTATCAGGCACACTCCAAATGCACAGTTTCCCTGAAGAGTCTCCTTGGATTAAAAGCTTATAGGAAAATTCCCTGTGCCCACAGAAGAATCGAGTAACTGGAGGACATATTAGTAGCTGTTAAAAAAACAAAAAAAACAAACAACAACTTCAAAACACAGGCCAAGCATGTGCTAACCTCAATACTTACTTTCCCCACTGTCCATTTTAAAAGCAGGACAAAAAGTAGCTCCTTTATGCTTTACCTTCCTTACAAGAGAAAGAATAACTACAAAAATATGAATCAGAAGAAATCGTGGTTAGTTACAGAAGTCATCACAGGTTTAGGGGAGAGGAAAATAAGATTTTTATATATATTTGGCTTTGTTCTAAATATATTCATATTTAGAATATTTTATATCTGTCTGTGTGTTCTCTGAAGCTGTTAACATCCCAACTGCAATGGTGAGCTGAAGTTACACTACTTAATAAGGAACATGTTCCACAACAGAAGCAAAATGTTTTCATATTGACTACCAACATAAAGGAAAAATACCACCAAACAAATACATTAATTTTTTTCTTGTCCAAATTTGGCAACGGATTAAATAGTTAAGATGAAAAAAAAGGATCTCTACCATAGTCTTGTAATAACAGCATTTGTAAATCAGTTACCTCATAGTGCAGTTATAAGTACTAGACATATACAGCAACCTTAGGTATATTAGTTCATAGCAGATACAGTGCACAGCAGAAGACAAAAATGAAGTATAGCTCAGAGAGGACTTGGGCCTACAAGACTTGTTTTTCTTTACTTTGCAAGGACTCCAGCTTTCAAATTCAATGCTGTGATTCTAAAGGCTCTTCTCTTGCTCAGTTATCACCTAATCACCGTGCACTTCCCAGCCTGGTTTGTAGCTCTCCAGGCACTGACAAATGATAAACTCCTAGTATATCACAGCTGAAGAGTCACTCGGTCAGAGACAAATCTCTGCACTCATCTGAAAATCAACAAGAATCAAACCAAACTGCAGGGAAACTGCCCCTGTTTACTTTCTCTGGGAAAAGAAGAAATCCCAGAGGTCTGCTTTGAAAGCAAAGGACTGGTCACGGTGTTAGGCAAGTTTCAACCCCATAAAAAAGAAAGGCACTCCATAAAAGAAACCCCCCAAACCCAAGTTTTACCTGTTTCTCTGCTCTGTCCAGCACACTGTACAATAAAGGTGGAATAACATTTTCTACTGCTTTCCCCACGTCTCTGCGAAACGAATCACTAGCTGGTAGGCAGCTGGGTTTAAGAACAAAGGGAAAGGAATAAAATTCCTTGTGTTACCAGAGTGATCACCACTTCACTAGCTAACTCAACAGCACTAAACAAAAGCAACCATCAAGCCACTAAACGTTCCACTTTTTAATTGTTAATAAAGTGCATAGCAGATGATTACTCTGTTTTACTGTAGAGGGTATGCTTCATGAATTAACTGCTCCAAATGTGTCCAGCCCAGTTCCCACACACACACTTGGAACTGAAGGACACCTGGCATAAGGGCTGCTTTGCACTTCAACACATCTGGCCTCAGACTCAAGACCAAACGACCCCAAACACAAGGATTGCTCTGACAAATCACAGAGATCTGCTCACATCCATATGCTCTGAACACAGAAGAGGGTGAGAAAGGAATTCTCACCTGATTTATGGAGGAATAGTCAAGGATTACCAAGATAAAACTTCATCTCTACCCAAAGCAAAGAGGGGTTTCCATGTCATGAAGATGTTGGAAGATAAGATTTTTATTTTCTTTTTGTCATTCTGCATTTATTTAACCTCTCTGATACCTAATTTTAAGTTCATTTTATATTTTCACATTGATGTGCACAAACTCAGCTGCTCATGCCTTCCCTTAATGTGCTGAAGGGGTACTCTGCTACCACAGCACAATCATCATTTACATTCTACTCCACAGAGCAACACCTTATTTCTTCCTTATTTGGACCTGGTTAAGGAAATATTTAAATCATATTTCAATTGGTTACACTTGTTTAACAACAAAGTGCACCTATTCCCATCACACAGCTCCATTAGAACGTGAAAAAGAGTTAGTATAGTATCAGAAATAGTGAAGCAACCTCATGTGAGGCAATCTAAATCACTGAGTGTGGCTTCAACAGGACACATTTCGGGGACACCACTTGCCCATATGCTCCTGGGATACTGGTTTCTGCAACAGCCAAATGGTTTTATAAAAAAAGCCAAAGCCACTCAGCATTTTTTCAAAGCTGGTCTTGTTCTTTTCTCAAGAAATAAAGAAAGAAATGGAGTATTGCTGTTGATTACCTGGCTGGTAATTTATATATGAAACTTTGGCCATCTTCAGTCCATACAATCACTTTGTCAGCTGACACAAAGTCACCACCAGTCCAGGTCAGACCGTTCTCACTAGGGACTGAACATAAGAGGGAATAATCTCCGGCATCGAAAACCTGGCAAGAAACAGCCCGTTGTCAGTATCCAATTACAGATTAAAATGCCCAGACAGCAGCTAATTTGGGTTTCAACAGATACATTAAAGGGACTTAGAGCCTCTTGGTCTAAATGCCTGCCTGCAGTGCCATCAGCTGCCCTTACCCGCCAGTACTTGGAGCACACCACCAGCAGCGACCGCTGCGTGAACGCGCAGAAGGAGATGCTCTGACAGTTCTGGCAATAAATAGGCTTCGACTCCTCTTCATACACTGGTGTTGTGTCCTAAAAAACACACCAAAGCCAATGTTAACTGCATTTTATTTAAAACTATCCGTCTGAAATTAAACAGAGCTGTACTAGCTTCTGTAATGACAGTTCTGGCAATAAATAGGCTTCGACTCCTCTTCATACACTGGTGTTGTGTCCTAAAAAACAACACACCAAAGCCAACGTTAACTGCATTTTATTTAAAACTATCTGTCTGAAATTAAACAGAGCTGTACTATCTTCTGTAATCACATCTTCCAAAAAAGGTGTTTCTTGGTAGTTTTAAACTCACTCAATTCATGAGCAAATGAGAAACCTGAGTCACGTTCCTGTAAGTTTTAACTGAAATCAACACCATGGTTTAGTCTGGTGCTCCTGTGGGTATACTGTATCCTGCACACCAACTTTCCTCTCATGAAGACTCAAGTTTGCACTGTCACAAGAGCAGCAAACACACAAAAAAGCAGAACTGTGCAAGTGACAGGTAAGAAACCGGCTTGCAAAGACAGACAAAAACAACCCCATGAGGAGGAGATCACTTCTCTGTGAAGTCACTGCTGGCCACACTCTTCTGAGTGAGCCTAGCACTACCACAGTGTGGGCTCTTACCTGTGTGGCCAGACACCCTCCGCTGGGTCCAAGTATCTGCCCCACCTACCACCCTGGTGCCACGCTGTGAGTCACCTGGGCCCACCTCCCAGCAACACCTCCTCCTCTGGTTGTACTGAGGGTGGTCACTGCTAACCTGTCCAGAGTTGACACACCCAAAGCCCCTGGGCTCATCCTCACTTTGACTGACTGTCAGACTGGGATACCTTGAAGGAAGGAGGGGCAGCCATGCCATTCACTCATCACCAGAAGATTCCAGCTCTGTTACAAAAACCTGGCTGCAACAACAGAAGGCTGCAGATAACCTGCAGTGAGTAGAAGGACCTGTCTGCAGGGCCCATCCCTTTAACTGACTTCACAGGGCTCTTCACTTCCATGAAATACATCCTTATCAAGACAGGGCAGGGAAGGTCAGGACAGCCAGACAGTTAAGGCATAGTAGAAACTCAGATGTCCTAGATCACAACACCTTATTCTGTTACAGATCTGTGGCAATATTTCAGGAAAATCCTGTCTTATTTCCTCAACTTCAGGATGGAGAATAAGCATTCTGTGCTACACAGGAAGCATTTAAGTGCTCAGACAGTGTGACAGTGACCAGGATCTGAAACTGAGAGTCTCTGTGCAGCCCAGCACACAGATGGAAAACAGATAACAGGAAAATACCCAGCTGATTTTTTTTTCTTCCTCAAATTGAACTTAGGAACACGACAGAGACCATGTGATGGAGTTTCATAAGACGCCAGATGGCCAACTTCTAAGGAAAAACCAAACACTTGTGGCAGTTCTTATCCTGTGACTCCTCACAAGCAGCTCTGCAGGAGCATGTGGTATCCTCTGCCCCCACTGAAGCCAAACAAACTCCCCAGCTGGGCAGATTGGCAGTGCCCATTCAGTACCACCACTGTGAGGGACTCCTCACACCCTGTCAGCTGAAACTAGGCAGCCCTAGCTCACATCTCACTCTTCCTCTGTTCCCCACATGCCAAACAGACCAGACTGTGAGCAGCTCCTGTTTAGTTATCTCCTTGTGCTTGTTTCTTTCACAACAGCCAGTGTTGTTCACTGCTCACAGCTGCTTTCTTTAAGTGTAACTGTTGGATGTGATGTTGGTTAAACATTGCTAGCTGCATGTCAAAGGTTTCCAGAAAACACTTTGAGAGCAAACATAATTTCATCAAGTGTGAAACCACCAGACAAACCTCCCTGGACCACCACCTCTGTCCCTGCTGGGGTCAAAAGCAGGGGATTCCATTACATTGGCCTTCCAGGCTAATGCAGACTCTGTTGCTTTTGCATTATAAAGTTCTCAGAAATAAACAAGTTAATTAAAAAAATAGTCAATTCATATAAGTTTATTTTTGCATAGTTGCTAAGCCTCTACAATAAAGCATATCTTTTATGAGAGGTCTCTGTGAGCAGTTGATTTGCCAAAGGTCTACAAGGCACACAGGAAATCTCCTTTCACACTTTTATCCATTAGTACACACAAGGGCAGGAACTGCCAAATAACAGAGCCATGCATATTATCCCTGATAATGAATATCCCCAAAAACTGTATTCTTTGCTCAGCAAACCCTTCAGGCTTCTCTACGTCTCACTCCTTATCTTCCTCAAAGAAAGGACTACATTTAATAATAAAATGTAATATTAAATAAAACTTAATAGTTATACTTTAAAAAGATTTCATTATAGTTTCATTAAGTACAGCTATTCTAAGAGCATGAGAAATGCAGCTGGAGAACTTAAGCCTAAAAAGAAGTAGTATTGTGATAATGCCACTTCTGTAATGCCATCACTCTGTTAAGACACACACTCCCTGTGCAATACAGGGCAAGCTTTAACTCAGACTGATTTCTACTCTGTACTACAGAGAGTAACCACGTATTTATTAGCTGAGGGGGATGATGCTAATGAGTACTCACACTGCACGCTCTTGGATATAAGAGTTGGCGTGTGCTGAATGAAGTTATGTACACAGTACACTTTAGGAAATTAAACATTACTTGTAACAATCTTACTAAATTCCCTTTGGAACTTGAAACTCCTGTGCAATGTAGCATGAGATGACTCCAGGAAAGAACAGGAATTTTAAAGGGGAAAAAAATCAAAAGGAAAATAATTGTACATTAACAAGAATATTTGTACATTAGTGCAAATCATATAGTACAAATAAAGATTTGTAGAAATTGGAGATTATATTACTTTTAATTTTAAAATAAGTTATTTGAATCATAGGTGAGAAAGACACGGGGTCCTGCTGGTTACCTGAAGAATCAGTAAAGCAAAATTAAGGAAGCTGATTTTCGAATGGCAAAGAGGAAAAAAAACCTTGATGTGATTAGTAGCTGGAAGAAGAGGAAACACCATTAATAGAAGTTCTCCCTTCATCACAACAGGAAACATCATTAATTCAGAAGCCTTTGTTTACCTGCACACGACTAACTTCAGAGGTTATTATCCATACTTTCAGGATGCCAGTCACCGAAACTGCTACAACAGTATCCTCTGGGGAAAAACAAAGAGGCAGCTGATAAGTATGAGGACGTCCTCATTTTGTTGCACACTTATGCATATCTGAGTACAAAAATATACCAAGAGTACCTCAACATTACAAGTTTATCAAAACATTCCTGAAGTGTTTGCTTCAAAATCAAATGTTTCTCCGCAAAGCAGCGTTCCAGCAGCACGTGCACAGGCACAGACCCTGCCGTGGTGTGTTTACCCCTCTCAGACAACACTCCAGGCTCCAATTAAATGGGGGGGAGGCAAGTCACAGGTCTTTCTTCTATTGCTGTCAGACATTGTGGGTTGTCCCACCACTCCCTCTTCCTGGGAGAGATTTGGGGAGATTTCTGGCTTACACCCAGCTGCCCCGACACTGAAGTTCAAAGGGAACCTGAGGGTCCCTAGAGAGCATCTCTGCAAGATTACTCCATTAGAGTTAACACCTTCACAAAACTATCAAGTGCCTGTCAAACTTCCTAGACACTCCTGTTTCCACCAGGTAAGACTGGTCTAAGACCAAAATCCACGGGGTTACTTCTTTGTTGTAATATAAAAACAATTACAAGACAAGAAATTAAATTTAAGGCAACACCAGGAAACACATAATCCCTGAGTTCACTTCCAGTTGCTCCAGCAGCTTCGATGTGGTGGGGTTAGGAACTGAGCTTTCCCTCCCCAGGACCTGGGGAACACTGTTTACAAGTGCTGTCAGCCTTAACCCAAGATAAAAGTCTCTCCTTTTGTCAGAAACCTCCTTCCCAGTGTTCCCCAAACCTCTTAGGAACTATGGTCCCCACAAGAGGACAACCTGAACAAGATCCCTGCAGGAATTTAAAGCCCAGCAAATTAACAGGATCTAGCAGGGCAACAAAAACGTGCAGACAGGGCTCGCTTCAGAGCACGTCAGCCCATGCACCTCTGAGCACAAGCCTACCCACACCTCTCCACCACACTGACTGCCATCATCCCTTCCAGAAGTTCCTCCCCCTACAGTCTTCAGGTTTTTAATCCTTTTGTGTAACTTAATCAGCACATTCCTTAAACACATTTCCTACAATAATAGGTTTGAAAATGTTATGGCAGTTTATAAAGCTACTAACAAGAAGAAATACTCATAGGATGTCTCTGTCTTGTAAAAAATGCCAATAAATAGCTAGGAAAGGATAGTGCTGGCTGGATGTCACCCAAGATCACAAGTAGTAACATTCTAGTTCTTTTCCAGGTTCTTGAAAAAGTTGAAAATGGTGTTCTCCCAAACAGGAGGCAAAGCCATAATAAAAGCAACAAAAGTAATTACCTTGGGTTCTGTTGGACCGAATGATAGTCATGGAGCTGATCCAGTCAGGAGATATCTTTGATAATAAAGAATAAAGAACTTCAAGGCTGGTAGCATCCACAACAAGAATTTCTGGATAATGTCCATGGCATAATAGCCTCCCCTCACACTGAGTCCCAACTGTAAACTGATAGAACTAGAAGGACACAGACAAAATACAGAAATTATGCTCAATGAGACACATTAGCTGCTTTAATCTTACTCAAAACCATAATTTCATAAATATTTTCTAATGCCTGTGTGTTTCAAAATGACTACTCTGCACTTTTCACAGAGGCCCCCCCTTTTTCCCACGGCCTTCCCAAGGGATTCCTTGCTCTGGACACCACAGAAGCCTGTCCCAGCCTTCCCAGCTAGGATCATGCACACACCCTCACCCCTCTGGCAGTACTCCTCTAAAAAACCTTCTCACTTCCCTCCTTTCTTTCCAGAAATACTTTTCAAATGCTGAAGCACAGCACTTATTTCCAGCTCTAGGGCATTTGATGACACAGGGTAAATTATTCAGGAGGTCCTGAAGTATGCATATAATGCTATTACTAAGCTTAAAAAGAACCAAAGCAGCCTTGTTCTGATACTAATCTATAGTTATCCATGCTTTGCAATACAGAACAGGACCTCTACCAGACACTAACCTGTATGCCTGTATGTGTACAGGCTAGTTTAGTAAACTCTATGCATCTCCCATCATTCACGTCCCATAGACACATCTCCCTGAAATATAAAAGGCAGATTAAAACTACTTGTAAAACACTTCAGTCTTTCAAGAGTCTAAAAATCATTTACATTAGGAGAAACATCACCTTCTCAGCCATTTGTTAGCAACTATATGAACTACATTTAGGTAAAATTCAGCCTGAGGCAGAGGATGGAAAGGTGGGGCAGGAATAACATCTGTGAGTTATGAATGACAAAACCAGTAACTTATCAAATTTGGTAACTTTTCAAAAAATTGGCCCAAAATCTAGGCTAAAATACAAGTGTAGAAAGTATGTTTTATTGAAAAGTTAGAGTACAACTTCTTTCTTTAAATTATCTGACTGCAATGGCCATTAATGTCAATTGTGCAGAAACCCCCTTTTCCCCTTCCCTCTCTGAACAGTTACTTTGAGTCATAAATAAAACAGCTTCAAAAATAAAATGTACTGCTGACATATTTTTTCTTAAGGATAAAAATCAAACTCTGCAACAGAAATGTAAGTTATGTTTTAAAACTTGGAAATCTGTCACACGAGTGAGAAAGGCCATGCATGTGAAACAATCTGATGTCTCCTCTCCCCTCCACTTCCATGGGTTAGCAGACCTGCACATCAAGAACCCCTGAGGAAACTCACCCGCTCTCTGAGGCACTCACTATATACTGCTTTTCACTGGAAGCAGAGGCCTTTGATAAACAAGTAATTGAGGCTGTATGACCAAACAACAGAGCTCTGGGATTAATCTAGAATCAGGGAAACAGAATGTGAAGTAAAAATAAAATAAGCACTATTACCAGACTATACATATCCCAGATTTCCATTTTGTGCATTATATGAATGTGTTAATATACATACACACATACACATCTAATTAGCATATCAGCAGATACATAACCTTCTGTTATTACAGAATGCTGCTATAGTAGGTAAAAAAGCTTCTACCCAGTATTGAAATGCAAATTAATGGACAAAAAACGCATTGTGTCAAATCTATGCTATCAATATTTTTAAATCATAAGCTGAATTTGGCTCAATTTGAATGAAAAAAAAGTGTTGTACTGCAACAGTAGTTTCCCCACGTATCAAGTATTGTTCACAACCCCACATATTCCTAAATAACTTTATATATCTAAAGCCCATGCATAGATTAAAGATAAAAAAGAAAACTGCCCTTTGTCCTTCCTAGAAAGAACTAGTTGCTTTCTCTCATTCTATCTTTTTAAACATACCAGACATAAACATAATTTATAGGGGTAACTCACAGACATTGAGATTTTATTGAGACTTCTAGCTATTCAGTACACACTCTTCCTGAAACATGCCACTTTTTTTTTTTTTACTGTTTTGTTTGTTTGTGGGGTTTGTTTGTTTAAAAGAAAGGACTTTTTTTGCTATTCCATTCCAAGAGTTTACATCTCTCTACCAACGCCAACTATGAGATCATATTCCATGCAGACACCTGCAGATTTCAACTCAAAACAACTAATCACCAACCTTTACCTCTGCTACTAGCCTCTTTTCTTTCAGCTTTCATGTGGAAAAAAGAAACACATGAAGAAAATAATAACCTTTAAAAGTTCTCCAAGTACAGTCCTCTGATCCCTGGAATCTGTTTTCACAACACAATATTAAGTGGCTCAACTTGAGAGTAACTAGTTTAGTGCAGCTTGAGAAAAGGGGAAGTGATGACTTAGAGTCACTGCAGGAGCAGTAAAGTTCAAGAGCCAAATGTTCTCCCTGTGCTCGAGTCCTCAGGGCGGGCCTGTCAGCCCAGGCCCCGGGAGAGGAGGAAGGGCAAGTGAGCAGGGTGCAGGAGACCCAGGCAGATACCATATCCCAGAATACATCAATCACACCAGCACCCAGGCACTTCAAACAGCAGGATAATGGAGACTCCCGAGTCCAGGCTCACCTCTAAATCCAGAGAGAGGTCCCAGAGACAGATCTGCCCGTCGTGGCAGCCGGTGACGATGACGGAGGCGTCCTCCATGAGCAGCAGGGTGGATATGCAGTGGGTGGGGGCCCTGCGGCCCCACAGCACGATGGGCAGGACCAGGCTGTTCCCAGCCATCCTGCTCTCACACCTGCAATTCAACCCAGACAGGAAAGGGTAAGGATACTTATGTTGGAATACACACACCCTGCATTGGCTGAAATGAGAGGTGGGAAACATTTCCAATGCCATTCCTCAATTCAAACTCTCACTCTGGTAGTTCACATCCCCTCACACAGAGGCTGACTGAACACACAGCAGCTAATTAGAAACAGAAATAGCCTAATTAAAAAGACATGTTAGTTCTGAACCTTTCAGCTCCTGGTCTCTAAGTCTGAGTGGCAAATATTTCCCAAGTATCATCTCTCTACCACCACTGCTCATGATTTACTTCTACATCCTGCCTTCTTCTAGCAGGCACAGCCCCACACAAGGAAGAGCTGCTTAGACAGAACCATGGGAAAGGAATTCGAATGTGCAATACCAAAGGATGTGGTTTGAGGGGAAAAAACGGTATCAGCACTACCTGGCACTACAGAAAGCTGGGAAAGGAATAAACACAGCAAGCACAGGCTGATTCCTATGCTCTCTCCTTTCTCCAGCACTGCCAAGCATCGCGAGCTGCTTCCCAACCCAGACCTGAAGGGCTCTGGAGACTGCCACTTGAGAGGCAGGCATCTTATCCCTGTGACCCCTGCCCCATGGCACTGCAGGACTTAAAACATCTTTTCCCCTCCCCTCCTTTTTTTTTTATTTTTCTTTTTTAAGAGTCAATTTGTATTGATGAATAGAAAGCACCAACTGGCCAGCTACCACTGAAACCAAAGCCTGCTGAGGAGCTGCAGCAGCACTAGATGTGCTTATTTCATAGCTGAAGGTAGTTTCCATCACAATGATTTGCCTTACGAACAAGATCCTGTCCATGACCCAACAAGAAATAGATGCAACCTTCTCTTCCTTAGTACCTAAGGAATATACTGATGTAAATAACATGGAGAAAAATTTTCTTTGTGACTGGGAAGGAGAGAACAACAGACGTGTTTGAATCATCTCAGAGAGAAAGAAAACATCATAGCAACTCAAACTGCAGCAATAAAAAACAGTCAGGAGGATTAGCACAAGACTCAAACACCAAAACAAGCCACTGTTTTTGTTAGCAACACTCAGAGCTTGCCAACTACTTAAAAAATGGTTTGTCCTGTAGGGTGCTTGAATGAGAGTCTGCTTAAGTGAAACTCTAGTCTGGAACTGGGCAATGGTGAGTTTATATAAAGACATACTTAAGACCCACTCCAGTTACTATTACTCTCTCAGAAATAACCAAAACATGGTGTAACCATCAGGCAGAGAAGCCACGTGAAGACAGACTGACATTTTCTGTTGGTCTGGATTCAGGATTCAAATACAGCTGCAGAAGTCAGTCTGCTTTGCCACAGTTAAAGGCTGGAGTGATGGGAACGGTGCTGCTGGGAGCCCTGTGTGACAAATGAATGGGTGCACTGCTTGTACTAAGCGTTCCTCATGGACTGCCTTGTAGAGGTTTAGTTCTGCTCAACCCAGAGCAGAATTTCTGATCTAGAGGAATACAAACACATCTAACAGGCAGGATTTACTGCAGAAATATTTCTTTAAAATGCCTATTTTCCTGTCTTTCTGTAGATACAGATTCTCCTCACCCAAGCGATGCAGTCACACTTGCATTTGTTCACAGATCTGCAAGCCTGTTTTACAGCACTTTGGAAGATGTGGAACAAAAAAACCCCGAGTTACGACAGAGGCAAACCAAAGGTCATCCTGAACCCAGGGCAGGTTCACTACAGCTCCACATCCCCACTGTGACAGCCAGTGTCCCTCTGCGTCCCTGCGATACTGGCACCAGACAGCAGTGATGGTTGTAAGGAACTCCCCAGCAAACAAATGGGGTGGTGCTGACCCCACCACCCCACAGAACAATCAGAGGATGCAGAGCATGAGCTCCATATTTCCATGGAAACAGTGGGAATTTAATCAAATCATCTTCAGTTCCACTGAAAACTCCCACGCGAGGTTTAGTGTCTCCCATCTGAGCCAGACCCAGGTTTGACAGGAACACCAGCAGCTACAGGGATCCGGCCTGTGCCAACCACCAGCTTGATCCTTTGTTCTGGCAATGCCATGGCCATTCCCAGGGTGACTCCCACACTTAAACAGGTTTTCTGCAGCAGAAATACCATCTGCTTCAAAACTTTGGGGTTTACTTTACTACCAGAAGTTCAAAATGAATCATTTGTCTGTCATCTATACAAAAATTACAGTATAATTTCTACAACAAAGTCAAGTTTGATTAATTTTGACAAATGCTGCCTGCACTCCTAGTGCAACCAGTGTCTGCTGCCAGCAACACTGAACATGAGAATGAACATGGAAAAAAGGGGGAAGGGAAGACAGCAAGAGAGAATCATGAATAGCTTAGGCTTACAAGCTGTAGAATTGCTCACAGGACCAGCTGGGTGCAACGAGCCTCCAACTTCTGCAAAGTGAGAGATGTATTATGGTTTTGCACAAAATCCAGATCATAAAAAACAATTCCACTTACTCTGAAGTGCCATTTTATGGCAGCTCTTCTCTTGGACAATCTTTATTAACAACTACCTATTGTAATTCGAGTTGTTATTTAATGTGCAAGTGAAAAAAAGACCAACAAGCAAGCAGTTTATCTGCTGCAACATACTAAAAGCTACCTTGGAAGTGGCAGTTGTAAAACCTGCCTGTAAATGTAGTGTTAATTGTTATGCAATGGTAGATCAATTGTTCTGTCTGGGTGCTCACCATACAGAACCGTAAAATAATCAAAAATTTTTAAATATGGTGACCTTACTAAGAGCTACGATTCTAAAAATACTTGATTTAGAGTGAAATAACCATACAAGTATAGTGAAAAGCAAAAATAAACTGTTGAGTTGTAATTTTAAATAAAAGGCAATCATAACAACAAAATCACCAAACCAAAATAACTATTTGGCTCTTTTGCTACCTAATTTTTGTAATGAAATAAAACAGAAGACACACTAGGAAGTGTGGGGAGAGATGGAAATGTCTTTGCTTTTTATCTGCTAAAGCCCTTGAAGATCAGCCAAGGTACAACATCCTTCAAGTGTTCTTCCCTTGCTACCCTCGCCTGGAAACGCAGAACTGCCCAGATGAACCCAGAAAGCTGCCACAGCTAGTCCCCCCCAGGTACTGCACCCCAAGTGCTCCTCTCACCCCCCAGCTGAAGATACACTGGCCAGCAGTGACCTTGAAAGTACCTGTGTGACATGAGCACTCTTCCTGCAAGGTTCACTTCATGACACTAAATGGTATTTCATCACCAGTGCAATCTGTGCACTAAGTTTTAATAGGTAATAAAGCAATCCATCAATGATTTCAGAGCTGAGAAATCTAGGAGTAAAAATGCTGACAAGAAATGTAAAAACCTCTTCTCATTCCTTCCAACTACTCCGAGTTCAGGGGCCAGGCCACAGGATTTGCAGGGTTGTTTCAAGCTGCAAACGGCCATGCTTCTGACTAAATCCAGCAGCTCCCCTAGCAGGGCACAAAACTCTCTCTAGAAATTCTGCAGTCGGTTTAATGCTCTTCCAAACTATTTCTAAAAACTTTACAATCAACTCTACTACAAATCTAGAGTCAAACCGAGCTTTCACAAGGAACACAGAGGATACTACAACACACACAAGTACCAGCACGTGTAACTCACCTAACCTATTGTGTATTTCCCATGCAGGAACATGCAGGAGAAAGCACTGAAAACATTAACTGCAGGATACTTTCTAAAGCCTTAAAGACATTAATGCCTCAACACTTTTACCTAAGAGAAACAGAATTCTTACATTATTTCATATCAGCCTTTGGGAGAGAGAGAAAGAGAACAAAAAAGAAAAACTACCTCTTTCCTTCTAGTTTTTTACTATGGTACCGCAACACCTTCATTAGAAACTTCATTTTCAGGAAGTACCAGAAGCCCATTTTGACAGCTGCAGAATTTGCCCTGCAAAGCTCAGCCCTTCTCAGTCACTGGTGAACACCGAATACACCCCCTGCAAAAACCCAAACTCACTTATTGTCTGTGAACAATCAATAATTTTTTTACATCAGTGATGACAAACTACAGTAGCAAATAAGCACTGTACCATTGACAAACTGCAAAAAGCATGCAGCCAGCCATGGCTAATGAAATCCACCTTCCAGTTAGCTGTACCTTTCTAGAACAAGCTTTTTTGGCAGAAAAGGGAACTGGAACTTTGAACTGGAAATTGGAGGCGTCAAAATGAGCAGAACTCTTCTTGTGTAAAACCCCTCTGTCTTTACTGGGATTGTGAAGTTCTCTATTGCTTCCACAAGTGACAGAATCTCAGTTTCCTTCCTCCAAGCACACAGTAAAAGAATGAGTTGGTGTTGTTGCACATATATAGGGGTATAAGGAGAAAATTCTTTGGTGTGAGGGTGGCCAAGCCTGGAGCAGCTGCCCAGAGAGGCTGTGGAGTCTCCTGCTCTGGAGAGATCCCAAACCCACCTGGGTGTGACCCTGGGCACCCTGCTGTGGGTGAGCTGCTGGAGCAAGGGGTTGGATGACATGATCCCCAGAGGTTCCCTCCTACTCCCACCACGTTCAGATTCTGTATGCATGCATGTAGATACATGTATGTATAAAAGCATACGTGGAGTTTCTTCATTTTCAAATTCCCTTTCTCTCAGAGACAGCAAACACATAGATGCAGGGATGAGGGAAAAGGCCTTCCTGGGAAGACCTGACAAATACAGAGGGTCTCTTTTTCCTTTCCTGCCCGACAAGGAAGGATCTTTCCTCCCCCTCGTATTTGCTTTTTCACAGCTGAGAGTTGCAGTGTAAATCACAGCATCATTGTCGTTTGTGGTGCCATGAGGAGTCACTGCCACTCACGTCTCTGGACTCACAAAGCCTCTCTTCTTCAGCCCCCTTCCACAGCCCTGAGAGGCACCACTTTGCATTCCAAAGCTGTCCAGTCTCTCGCATTCCCTCTAGGTGAAGCTGGCTCTCCTGCTCATGGCCTACAGCAGGT